CGGTGGGACAGTCACTGTGGCCGGTGGGGTAGTCAATGTGGCCGGTGGGCAGTCACTGTGGCCGGTGAGGTCACTTTGGTCGGAGTCACTTTGACCAAAGTCACTTTGGACGGAGTTACTTTGGCGGCGCCGGCGCCAGCAGTGGTTGTGGTGCCGGCGGCGGCGGTGCTGCATTCGACGGTCATAGGACTACTAATCAAATATATAAAATGTATATTAAATACAAGGAATATGACTTTTAGTCATATTTTTGGAAAAATATAAAACATGTCAGAAAATTGTATTTTTTATTCATTTTAATAATATTGGAATAAAAAGGCCATAAACATTTTAGCTCACTATGTTATCTTTTAACCGACTCGAAAGATACGTACAAATAGGAATCTAATTTGGAGATAAAGTAGCATAAAAATCATGTTTACGGGTATTCAAATTTGGTCTAATAGCTACGACTCTATTTTGAAAAGAGGAAAAGGTGAATTGAGTACATCAACTTGTATGAGATGAGTAAAGAGTACGCTATATTGCATCTAATATTTTTAAGTACACAAACTCGGTTTTTTAGTGTTAATTGAGTACACTCATTAGATTAACATGTGAATACGTTTGTGATAGAGTATAAGTCTAGAGAGAAGTGAGAACTAGAGAGAGAAGTAGTATAATTGCTCTGTATTAATGAATTTGTCAACCCCTACAAACACTCCCAAATGGGGTATTTATAGGAAAAATACGGGCTGGGCTCCCAAGCCTCGGGCTTGGAAGGCCCATTTACAACAGGACCGCTATTGGGCCGAATACAAAGAATGTAGAAATGATTAAGTATGAAATCTAGTTCTGTGAATCCTTCGTGGCCGACGAGGGTCTGGCCGACGAGGGTATGGCCGACGGAGGCACGGCCGACGGGGTCACCCGGTCCCCCTGGCTTCTGGATCATATTCTGAGTTGGTTTCTCTTCGGCCGACGGGGGTCTCTGGCCGACGAAGGCACCACCCAGTGACTTGTACTTTCTGTTCTTCTCAGTATGTCGGTCCTGGGTCCTAGACCCATATACTCCATCAGGAGTCCCCCACTCTCTAAGCTGAGATGTAGACGAAGTGAAGGAGAGTAGGTTTCTGAGGTTTGACGTTTTTGGCCGATGTGGGATCGCTCTGGCCGTTCCCTGTCGCGGCAGTAAGGGCCACTTCCCTTTGGTATGCTTGCCTGAGTTTGGCCGTTGCCTGCCCCTTGTTATGGACGAGGTAAGCTAACGTTTCTTTGATGTGTTTGTTTGAGGACGATGCGTGTCTTTGGCATGAGTGGCTGATGGGGGCAGTGTATACCCTTTCCCGCTCGTTGCTGGCTGAGTTTTATTTTCGAGCCTACAAGGCCATGGTGGTTGCATCTTGTTTTGAGGACGACGAGCGTCCTTTGGTTTGGGGTTGAGTAGAGAATGCGCCGATGCGCCGATGGGCGCCACTTAAATGAGTTGCCCCATTTATGGCCACACAATTAGGGGTGGGGTAAAAATGGGGTACAACTTTGGGGTACCTTTAGCATTGCACTATTCATAGAGTTCATATGATAACACTTAATTTGACTGGATCGACTAATTCCGCTAAAATTTATGAAGTTCTGCCTGAAACGACTGGATTTGCTGATTTTGTTGATTTATGAAAAATTATAATTAAAATATACGAGGTTACCAAACGGGCTCATAATAATAAACCCGCAAAGCATAATTGAGGGGAAGATTTTTCTCCCCTCATATGTAGTGCTTTTAAGTATTACTACGGAGTAGAAGATAAAGTTACTAACAATTGAGCGGGTGAACTATGTAGTTTTTTTGAAGTATAAGATAAGATAAGTCATCTAATAATTGAATGAGAAAATTTTATTGAGCGAGATAATTTCTCTCTCATATCTAGTGCTTCTAGGCATTAGAAGATAAATTTGCTAAAAATTGAGTAGAAAAATTGAGCGGGAGAATTTTCTCTCTAATATGTAGTTCTTTTAAACATTGGCCACCGTTTTTTGATGAAGTGATGAAGTGAAGTAACGTAAAAGAAAATTGGCAATTTGTAATCCAATTATTATGAGGCCACGTGGCAGCAAAATAGCAAAGGAGTAAAATAAGGGGAGAAGACACGTTAGAATTTTTGGAGGTAAAAGAGTAATTTGCACAGTCATCTCCTTTCTTATATATAAATAGAATAGATTTAGATGGTTAATGGACTATAATTTGAACATTAAAACAACCGCTCTGTATGACTTAAATGTATGAAATGTTCGGTTTTAAAGTTTCCATCACCAGGGTCTTAGGGATACATTTGATCTTTCGGATCCGGATTGATAATTTATCTATTTTTCAAGTCCTTTATTGATCAAATTAAATACTATGGTATTGCAATGTGTTTATTATGGTAATTTGCAGATTAGTAGAATGGAGACTTTTTTTTAGATGTTTGACAGTTTGAGAGAAGAAGATTTGTTGGTTATTGAGATGATAAAGGAAATGTTGTTTATCACAATATAATACATTAAAATAAAATGACGATGGCTTAATAATAAAAAATAAATTGAGTAGCCGTATTTTTGCAAAATTTTCCTTCAAAATTTCAGCTTTCCTTTTTTGGCTTTTCCATATATTTGATATATACAACTTAAAGTCTTAAACATACCTTTTGTCACTTAAAAGTAGCTCATAATAAATAATTTGTTAAGTTCCTTATTTAATATGGTAGTTATTTTAATTTGTGTTGTAATTTTTCCTTCAAAATTTATAGATATGTGTCTTCTCCATTAACAAAGACATATCTATTAATATATTAATATTAATTATTACATATATTATTACATAGATATTATGTGTGTGTGTGTGTGTGCGGGTTAGCGATTGGGTGGATGGAGCGGGGTGACGGATCATGTGATGGGTTGGATGAGTGTTCATCCACACCCGATCCAACCCGTCTTTCAACCCACTTGTCATCCATTATTCATCCATACTTTTTCGGTTTTTCGTCCATATTTTTGGTTCGGGTTGATCAGGTATCTGCGAGTGCGGATGATATTGTCAGCCCTAATAAGGTTTGGTTTTTCGTCCATATTTTTCGTCCATACTATGTTGATTTGATTCATGTTAAAACTTAATGGTTAATAGTGTCTAATTTGAATTAATTTAGAGATCGATTTGGTAACCATGTTATTTCAGTTTATCAGCTAATTTTTTCACCTAACACACAAGTTTTGATTTCATGTATTGAATTGTTTAATAATCAAAATATGTAAGGTTGAAGTTATTTTTTTGGGTGAATTGCATTGGTCAAAATTACTGTAGGTGACTATTTTAGTTGATTTTTTTCATACATTTTTTTCTTTATATTAACTTATTCATAAGTAATTCATTATTCTCCATCACCATATATAACAATTCAGATACCGTCCATAATAAACAATTCAATTTTTCCATAACTGCAAAATATTTATTGATTATAACATGAATAATAAAGTAAAAATTGTGAAATTGAAGTTTGTATAGAGAAGGAAGAAATAATATGAATCACAAACTAATTGATTAAAAAATGTGGCCTAGTTTTTGAACAAATTCAAAAGAAAAATGACAAAATATTATGTAGTAAGATTTAAGGCATAGAGAGAGTGATGGATAGTGTACGGGATAGCTTATCCGGGGGTTATTGCGGGAATAACTAGAGAGAAGTCAGAGCAAGTAAGTAAGAGAGTATATATTCAATATGAATTCGGCGTGATTTACAATGGGGAAACGGGCTGCTATTTATAGCAGTAATAAATGCTAGACAGGAACACGTGTCAAGCATCCGACGGCCGAGGGTCACCTCAATTGGGGTGGCGCCGGCATTTGCATGTGGCCGCATTAAATGCGATGGTTGGATGTGACGTTGTACTTGGTACGGTGATTCAAACGCATGTGGAGAGTAGATTCCGTCGAGGAGAGTGTCTTCGACTGAAGGGTGTTACACCGAAGGCTCTCCTAACCAGGGGCCTCCTTGTGCCGAGGGTTGTATGAACCGAGGGCTCAGTTTTCACACCTTGTTCTCCTGTGATGTTTCTGAGTTTGATTCTGTCAACGGTAGCCTTCGGTCATGGGGCCGAAGGCACTCCTTTGCGTGTCATGGGCCGCTTAGGGCTTTATCCTGCCGGGCTAATCCCGTTTGAGCCTGATTGCAGTAGTAGGGATGGACTCGGGTCCGGGCCGGCGGGTCAGAAATGGTGGACCCGGGACCGGACCGGGTAACCACCAAGTCCGATCCGGGTCCGGGCCGGGCCCGTTATATTTTTTTTTTGTTTTCCTCTTCCTAATTAACCCCCTCCCACCCCCAACCCCCCAAACCACCCCAAATGGCCCAAAATACCCAGCCCAACCCGAAAATTAAAAAAAAAGAAGAAAAAAAATAGTTTTTGGCCCGAACCGAGCCCGGGCCCGACCGGGTCGGGCCTTGTTTTGGGTGACCCGAGCCCGGACCGGAAACCCAGGGGCCGGACCTACCCGGACCGGTCACTGACCGGGCCACCGGGTCGGGCCGGGCCGGAACAGTACCGGTCCCGGGCCGGTTCCGGGTCAGGCCACCCGGCCCGAGTCCATCCCTATGCAGTAGTAGGAGTCTGTGAGCCGGGGGTCCCCGGACCATATACTCAATCAGAGAGCATAACGTTTTTGACACAAAACAGTCCAAGATTCACTTTTTAATGACGGTTAGTACGATATATGATTTCATATAATGTATTGTTTTTTAGTGGTTCCATATAATATAACTAAACATGATAGTATTGAATTATTGATTAACTAATAAATAAATAAATAAAAACCGAAGCCACCGAGGAAAAAGCAGATTGCACACAATGAAATATAATCAAATCAAACATTTAACCTCTAAAAGTTACACTAAAAGTTTAGATTTACAAACCCTTATACCATATTAAAATATAATACATGGCATATAAACCAATTAAAAGTAAAATAATAAATAGAACATACACATCTTACATTATTGTACATAAATACAAGTAAAACTTTTTATTAATTCAATATAGGTGATTGATTTCCGTTCAAAAAAAAATTACAAGTCAAAACTTTACATTAAAAATTTACAAACTTGACCTTTATTGGTCAATAAAATGTACTCCCTCGGTCACTCCGTTCCCAAAAATACTTCCCACTTTCCTTTTTGGGTTGTTCCCAAAAATACTTCCCACTTTACAATTTTGGACAATTTGTGTGGCTCACCTTCATTTTACCTTTTTCTTACACAACCACAACCATACATTTCACTTTATTCCACTTTCTTAATAAGCGTGCCAAGTCAAACCGGGAATATATATCACATAAAATTCGCTGATAGTGTCCTAGCGGAACCTTGCCAGGATCAATCCTCTGACAGAACCAACAAAGGCAAATAGGACAATTACCAAGCATATGTATGTATATGCACGTAGAACGATCTTCTGGGTTGTCCAAAATTCAATGTTTTTCTGCTTGAGGTACATCTCCACTGGGAAGTAAACAACTATAGGCCAGAAATTGACTGATCCCGCGAATGCCACAACCTGATTGAAGTACGGGAACAGAATGGCGATCCCAGTGATAATTGCAACATAAGCAACCCGAAAAACCAATCTCGCAAAGTTAAACTGAAAAGCTCCGAAGTGTTGGAAATTTAAAATATAGTTCTTATGTACAAATTGACATTCTGGATATTTCTGCCTAAGCCATCTTTCTACATTTGCGTACAACGGCTGGCTGAACACCTGTGCATATAAACTTTCCTATCAAATCCAGATCAGTCACAAGTTTGTGTAGTAGAGCAGAATAACATGTATGGAATTAGTTAGTTAGTAGTATACTTTTAGGTCGGCAGTAATGAAATGCAATGCAATGTAGTCAGATACACCTCTAGTGTAACATTTACAGCACACGCTTTTGATTACATATTTTACATATTTACCTACAGGGTTTAAAAAAAGATTACATATTTTACATTACCCTTCAAAACGCCTTACCAGGCTACACCTTAATGTAAATAAACATGCATTTATCATGTCTTTCCATACTTTACCTTAGTACAATAATAATACCTGATATCCTCCAACAAGGTGAAGAGCAACACAGGCATTAGCAAAGTCGACAAGCCAATAGGGCTCGTAAAAACCAAATCCTGTTAAGAGGTTCCCAGGTGTCCTATTGCCAAAAGCTGCATAACCCAGTCCACCACAGCTCAGGTAGAAAAGTGTGGTAGTGCAGACTGCCATTATTGAGGCCTTCTTCATGGTTGCCTTTTCTGAAGGTGCCTTCAGCGTATGCTTCATATTTTAAAAGTTTTAACAAATTGCCACATTTCATATTTTACTTTGGGGGTGAATGTAAATTTGATGCACCTGTATCTCTAAAAATATGGCAGAGAATGGGAAGGCAAAGGCAATGTTCCCAAGCGCTTCTGCAACTAACCATACTTTTTTACTGGGATTAGAAGCAGGCAATCCTCCAATGCCACCCATTATTTCTCCATTACCTGCAAATTCCAGTTCAGAAAGTGGATTCTAAGGGTATGATTGGCTCCCTGAAAGTGATAGAAAACAGATTTGCCATGCAAATGTTTTTAAAAAATATGTTTATGTTTGGATCCTTGGTCTTTATGTGACAGAAACACATGACAGTATGAGTTTGAAAAAATATACTTCGTACAAAGTAATGTATATGTGTGTGTGTGTATCTTATTGAGTTTCAACTTTAAAGTTTAAACCAATGCACACTTCCACCCCTATTTTCTTTACTTTTCCAAACATTGCCTACAAATTCATCAACAATGAAAGAAGGATTCAGTGTGCAGAAAGTTAACCTACCTACCTATTATTTTGGCTAAGCTAAGACCTGATCCGATAAATGAATATGTGAAAGACATGATTGCAGCAACGATGGAGAGCCATTCTGTATTATGGAAGTCAGGTATTTGAGACACTAGTCCTTGAAGTGATCCAAATATAATCATATATTTAGTGTTTGAATACCAACAAGTAGCATTGTGGCCTTCATAATGATAGCAGTTTGATTTCTGAATAGCTCTGCAAACAAAAGGCTCATTCGTTATCCAATGGCTGTCAAAGATATTCTAAGGTAAATCAACTTACTTCTCTACATACCTGATACTAATAGCAGAGGTGATTGTATACACAATTCCGATCTTTATGAAATTTATCCCGACAATGATGCCACAAAACCAGGCACTTCTAATTCCTACCTCGCATGCAAAATGGAAGGTTGGATACATTTTTATTCGGATTATCATAGTTGGATAAGAAACCTTACATTTTTTATCCAATTCATTATTCCTCATTCATTTAATAAAATCCAATTCATTATTCCTCATTCATTTAATGAAACCCATTGGTTCCGTCCATTCACAACTTTTCAAAGATGGATATTCGATCTGTTTATGGTTTTTATTACTCCTTACTTCTCTAGTGTAGAGACGATTGAGCAATGCATGAATGATACTTTAGAGTGACCAACAAAGATTTGGAAGATTTTTAAAATGTGACCAAGTGAATTTCTCTAGTGGAAATTCAAAGATTTGGAAGATTTTTAAAATGTGACCAAGTGAATTTCAATGCTAATGACAATAATGATGATGATGATGTTAGATGGATCATTGAGCATCCACCTACACGATTGATTAAACTAAAGGGAAAGCAAGAACATTGACAGTACATGGCATACATTAGTAAAGAGTTCATATATCTTACCTAAGATGGAGTGGACAGCATCGAGGTAAGAGGCATGGGTGATGATGTGGAGGTCAGAATCAGTGGATTTATAACAACTGGAGAGAAGAAGAGCACTAGTGAGGGTGACAGAAGCAAAACAAAGCATGGCTATTGGGCCGGCAATCCATCCCAGTTGTGACATGCTCCATCCCAATGATAGAACTCCTGATCCTATCACTGCCGTTATTATATGTGCTAAAGCAGTCCATTCATTTCCTGTTTTCGCAGCCATATTACTTCCTTCAATCCTCCCTCTATCTGCAAAAGTCTCTCTAATAATATGAAACGTAAAAAAGTAAATATATGTGGTCCTTCCAACACTACTTGTCTCGCTTTTGTTGGAAAATCATTGGGGAGTAGTAGTAGAATATTTTGGAAGAGATAGTTTTATAAAGAGAACTTTAATTGTTATAAGAGATGCCGCCAGGACATGAATGGCTAGGATGATGCCAATACCAATCAAATCTAGTGGCTCTCAAAGACTCTCTAGAAGTCTCCTTAAAAACATCTACCGTCTACATCCTTCTACCATCTAGAATTATCTAGAATATTATTCTAGAACTTGGATCATCTATTATGGGCTACGTCTTATTTAAGTCTCTTTTACATTTTCAAAAAAAAATCAATGGGCTGGCTAATCAAATTTAAGGGGTGTTGAATAATTAAACTTGATTAGCTAGCCCAATGATTTTTTTGAATAAGTAGAAAAGCCCTAATAATAATAATAATAATAATAGATGTTCCATGTTCTAGAATAATAATCTAGATAACTGTCTAGGTGGTAGAATAATGTATAATGTAGATATTTGTAAGGAGAATTCTAGAGAGTCTTTATGAGCTAGTAGATTTGATTTGTATTGACATCATCCTAGTCATTAGTTGGGGAGAAGCCTTAGTATAAATAGGACTGTCCTACCTCTTTTTGTATCAAGCAAAACTTGAGAAATCTCTTATAAAAATATATAAGTTCTCTTTATAGAAGTCTCTTCATCAAAATATTCTTCTAGTACTAGTCTAGTACTCCGCAATAGTTTTACACCCTTATAAAATAGGGGAATTTGACTTTGCATCCCATGTTTTGAGCAATACTAGACTCACCCCATTTTCAAAATCATTATGTGAGCACCTCATCAACTAACAAATTGGGCGAAGGAATGAAGTGCAAAGGAAAAAGTTATTATACTGAAATGGGGTGAATACGTTAATGATTTTCAAAATATGGTGTAATGTCAAACTTCAGCCAGAAAATGAGTGCCCTCATTACTTCTCTTCCAACAAACTTTGCTGTTTCAAACAGATTCCTTGTTTGGAGGAAAAATTAAGGATGGCAATGGGGGCAGGGCTTGATGAATGCTATACCTCTACCAAGTTTGATACAAATTTCAATTCAATTAAATACATTCTTTTCCTTGACAAGAGTTAAACATTCTTAGGAACGACAGTGAGTAAAATGAAAGTTACCAGTTCTCTTCCTATTGGACTCTTCCAGTGGAAGCAGTGGTTGGGCAGCAAGAGAAGAGCGTAGCTCCTGAAATGGATGCATCGAGATAGGTAGTAGGTTATAGTGCAATTATCCCCAAATTGATCTTTCTTATTCATAAGCCGACAAGCCGTCATAGCCCGCCCTGGCAAAACTATTCTCACACTTGATGCACCACGCTTTTCCTGGAAATTGTTGATGGTGATAAAATTCAACAAACAACAGTAGCAGAATCCACCATTATTTGTATCAAAAATATTTTTGTAGGGGCTATTTTGGTTTATCCACTTTTACACGTAGGCTTTTTTCGGTCTGTCCTATTTGAAGGGAACTTTTTATTTCGGTCTGTCCTATTTGAAGGGAACTTTTTATTTCGGTCTGTCTGTCCTATTTGTATTGTACTCCTTCCGTCCATTAAATGGTTCTTTTTCACAATTCTCCGGTTAATGTGAATTGTTTTTAATTTTTTACTTTATATATCCAACATTTATCTAATTTAATTTTTCTTGATCAAGTATTATAGAACTTTTAAGGTAGTTTCTGAATATGTAAATTTTGTTTACTAAAAATAATGTGTTGGTTTTTGTCTGTCCAGCTAAATATAGTTAAAAGCCGGCCCCATAGGTCACCTTTGCTTTTAGGTGTTTTGGATTTTGTTAGATTAGCCTACCCTGATGTGTGGTTGACGAACTTGACAGTCCTCAGGGGTTAATTAGTTATATGTCTCACCCCAGTATAACTCTGAGTTATTGATTTATTTTGTCGCTTGTCATTTCCATTATTAATAATAAATAAGTGTTCTTTCTTCAGAAATAAAAAGTTCCCTTCAAATTTGATCTCTAAAAATTTGTTAGCCCATGTTATAATTTGAGAGTAATATGATATAAAGAGGCTGCATAGTTCACAAGGACGGCTTTTTAGCTGGGTTTTGGCAGGTTGAGGTTCCGAGTTCATTGGTTATCATTTCATTGGAGATAAACAAAATGAAAACAATTTGAAAGGAACATTTATTTACCTAAAGCGGTGCTATATCCGGTGATGTGTGTTCTTGGATTTCACCGTCGATGGATGACATCGGTTTACGGCCTGCTAATGTCATCCTTCTTTGAGCAGCAACCGAATGACTAAGGGAAGTTGTAATCGCTGGACAGTAGTTCCTAGGGTTAGAGTATTTGTTGGGTTAGAGATGGGAGATGCGGTGAGGAGATGATAGATGGCCGATATTACCGAAACATTGATAAATTTATGGGATTTGTGGAATGCGAAGCAACGGTTGGATGGAAAAGGGTTAACTGCGGATGAACTTTCTAGACAAGATTAAATGGGCATTATCAGCTCGTGCGTGTAAAGAGGAGAGGACTTGGGTTGTTTTTACTTGGACGGTAATTCGTCCCAGACCAGACTAGATCAAACCAGACTAAAACAGACCAGACCAGACCATATTTTATTATTATTATTATTATTATTATTATTATTATTATTATTGCTATTATTATTATTATTAGGGGTGTGCACCGGTTCAAAACCGGACCGTACCGAACTGAACCGGATATCATTCCGGTTTGATCCGGTTCCGGTTTTTCCGGTTCGGTTCGGTCCGGTTTTCCGGTTTAAACCGACTAGTGCACACCCCTAATTATTATTATTATTATTATTATTATTATTATTATTATTATTAGGGGTGTGCACCGGTTCAAAACCGGACCGGATCGTACTGAACCGGATCAGATATCATTCCGGTTCGATCCGGTTCCGGTTTTTCCGGTCCGGCTCGGTCCGGTTTTTTGGTTTAAACCAGATAGTGCACACCCCTAATAATAATTATTATTATTGTTGTTGTTGTTATTATTATTATTATAATAATTATTATTGTTATTGTTATTGTTATTATTATTTGTAATTATAAATGAATAAAATATAATTATTATGGATTATAATATATATAAAAAATAAAATCTTTATGCAAAAAATATAAAAAATAAAATTTCAGACCAGACCAGACCAAAACAGACCAGACCAGACCAGACCAAAACAGACCAGACCAGAACAGATCAGACCAGACTAACAAATTACAGTCCAAGTAAAAACATCCTTGATGGTTTTCTGAAGTGGAAATAAGTCACACGTGTCCACAACTTTGTTTAAGCTATTCTTTTAAATATTTAGATTAGATATTTATTTATTATTGTGGCTTTATGAATGTTTATGGTATTAATTACCTATTTTTAAAATTATGACTAAATAACGAATCATAAGAAAAAAAACATATCTGAGATATAACTTACACATCTTCCAGCCTAACGGTGATAATCCTTAACCTTAGGTATCCACATGATTTCTCCTTTCCGAACGAACGGTTAGATCTTTCTTAGAGAAAGGCTAGGAAATCTCTTTGTAGGGAATTAAAAGTACTTAATGACACCATTACTTTTTTCGTATATGGTAAACACATGTGTGAAATAATATAAGGATCTCATTAAACATTTCCCACAAATTTATATTCAAGTATAGTTTAAAAGTAACATAACACACTTTTACATTATTGCACACCCCCTATTTTACATGTTTACCCGGGCAATCATTTTGAAAAAGAAAAAAATATTTGCTAAATCATTTGTGCATTGTGAGGGTGAATTTACTAGAAGGAAGGATATTAATTTTAACGCGACTTAAAACATTAGCCATTGCAATTCCGGATACTAGAATACCTAAACATTACCTATTGTGTCATGAATGTAAATAAAATCAAAAATAGTTGATGTCCCGTGTTGCATGGTTTGTTGTTGAAAACACTTATTTATATTTATTGTCAATTTTACGTGCTTGTGTCAGGAGCAATCAATCCGTCGAGCGTTAAACAATAACATTACATATTTACATACAATGACAGTGGAACAAAACTTGAAACAGAGAATATTGTGGGTATATAAAATGTGTGAACTACTCAAAAATCATTGATAGATCATACTGAATATGTTTCATTTTTACGTCAAACTTTATTATTGTATGGAGAATAATTGTAAATGATTCAAGTAAAATTAGAAGTTTTTTAACTTTAAATTTGATTAAAATTAAATGCATCGTGAAAATTTTCAAACCGTGCATCGCACGGGTGCTCTACTAGGATCAAATAGAACCGGTTAAGGCCCGATTGAAGAATTATCATATTTGAGTATTGTTTAATAATGCCTTACACACTTTCACGTATTTGCACATCCCTGATTTTCCAATTTACCCGGGCTATACGTGTAAAAAATGCAATTCATATAAATGCATAGTCACTATATTACTTGAGATGTTTATACTTAGACTTATTTCAGTCTCAAACCAAATCAAACTTAAACAACTCAGACCAAATCATACTTGGATAGTAGAAATAGTAGAAGCACATATTTTAACATTTTCCCACAAATTTAGATTCAAGTATAATTCAAGAATGACGTAACACACTTTCACATATTTTACTCCCTTATTTTACCTATTTAGAGAGACAATTCGTCTAAAAAATGCAATTCATGTAAATTCAAAAATTCTAATTGTTGGTGAAGATGAAGGAACACCCACTGACAAGACTCAGAGTGTTGTATTCAAAGAAGTGTTCAAAAATGTATAGGTTTACATTAAATGCATATTTACAATGTGATGGTTTCAACGTATTTGTTGGATGTGTTTGATCTTTTAAGTAATGATTAGTACTCTCATTTTGACCATAAAAAACCTAAGTGTGTTTCGTTTAATACTTTGATATATATCAATATTACATGAATATAGATGATGTCATCAATTGATAGTGTGATTTGAATCACTAAGCACATATAAATTTGAAAGAAAAATTCTCAGACCGTGCATCGCACGAGTGAGAGTACTAGTATGATATAAAGAGGCTCCATAGTTCACAAGGACGTTTTTTAGCTGGGTTTTGGCAGGTTGAGGTTCCGAGTTCCATTCATGCGGCTCCTCTGTTTTCCCTTCTTTAAATCTCCTCTCTCTCCTGATCGTTTTTATAACTTCTTACGGAGTACTCCCTTCGTCCCAGAATTTACTTCCATAATACAAATGACACACAGATTAAGAAAGTGGAAATTGTGTGGTGCAGAGTTGTGCAGATGAGAGAGAAATGCGTAAGAATGTGTAAGAATTGGTGTGAACCACAAATTCTTTGCCAAAAAGGGAAAGATAAGTTCTTTTTGGGACATACGAAAAGGGAAAATTGGAAGTAAATTATGGGACGGAGGGAGTATTAGTTTGTGATTTATTTTTTTGTCAAATTAGATACGGATAACAACTGAGTTTTTAAACCTTTTTCTGTTATCAATTAATCTACCCTTTCTTTAGAGCTTCAAATTCAAAATTAAAATTGTTTAGTTTTCTCATTTCATTAATTCAAGTTGTCAAAATTGTGATTTAAATACGGAGTATATTAAAATGTCAAAAAAATAAATTGTGTTATCGTTTTAGAGTCCGTTTGGTAGCACGAAAATCAGCTGATTTGGTTGATTATGCTTAAATTTATGAAGTTCTGGCTGAAGTGGTTGCATTGGCTGATTCTGCTGATTTAAGAAAAAAATAATTTTAAAACATATTTTATAAATAAAATAAAGAAAAACTTATATGTAAAAATAGCTAAAATGGTCATCTACAGTAACTTCAGCCAATACAGTCAGAAAAGTAACTTCAACCTTACTTTTTTCTGCTTATTACACAATTTAGCGCGCGAAAGCAAATTTTACGTGTTTGATGAAAAAGTTGGCTGATAAACCTGATAAGCCGATAAACAGTGTTACCAAACGGCCTCTTAATAGTTTTAGGATTCAAACTTCCGTGTCTCATTCAAATCGGTTCGATCAATTTTTTTCTAATCCAGTTAGATTACTTTATTTGCTTTTCAGTTAAATGGAAGGAAAAGAGTACATTAAAATGTATTGTGAAAAAAACTATTGCAATAGTTAATTAAGCAAAAAATGTACTCCGTATTAAATAATAATTATCATGTACATCAAAATACTAATAATAGTAGTATTGCAATAGTACGGAGTACATATTTGGCTTAATAATTAAAAGAATGACATGAATATTACTACTCAACTTTCATTGGACAAAAATATAACATCTTTTAAAATTGACAGAAAAGTTACCCTACTTTCTTCCGTTTTGCGGCACCGAACAACTCAAACATTAAAAAGCGGAGATAAATAATGGAGACACTAAATTAAAAGAGCCCGTCCACCGTACTGCCGTCTGTACGGTGAGCACCGTACAATCGGTGACATTTTTGTAATCAATGTGAAAACTGGTTTCTGCTCAATACCATTAGTGTACTGTTAATGAGCAATAACCTAATTTTAATGATCATTAAGAGTCTAACAATGAGAACCGTGTCATTACAAGAAAGCTGATATCACATCTAAAAAACGGTGACATTTTCGTAATTTCAATGAAAATTATGGTTTTTGTTAGATGAACATTAATACACTTTTAATGAGCATCAAATGTATTCTACTGAGCATTAAGAGTCGAATAATGAGTATTGTGATATCAAATTCATATATTGTAATTCACTTTCTTTTTCCTATTTTTTCTTTTATAAAAACTCATTAAATTATATCTATAATCATTTCCTATGAATTTCAATCAATATGCAAATCTAATGTCATATGATAGTTTTGAAATATGCATTGATATGACATTTTAAAAATGAGTATAACATGACTACCAATTGAGTATACTAACTTATAAAATGAGTGTTTGTATGAAAATAATAAGTTTTTCTAGTTGAGTGAGCATCAAGATTTTTTCATTGAGAATCAAACATCATGCTTTGAGTATTATAAAGAGAAAATGGAAACTAATAATCCAACCCTTTAACGGTCTTCTTACAATAGTCCAACCTTTTCATTATTAATAATCCAAACTTTGCACTCCATCTTCATTCACTGGTCCCTGACCGATTTATGACTTGTTATTCCAAGTTATTTTCTTATCTTTGTAAAACATTATACCATAATTCACACCTTATGATCACATAATGTTTTGAAAAGATAGGAAAATAACTTGGAATAACAGGTCATAAATCGATCAGGGGCCAGTGAATGAAGATGGAGTGCAAAAGTTGAATTATTCATGAATAATGAAATGGTGGGATTATTGTAAGACGACCGTTAAAAGGTTGGATTATTAGTTTCCATTTTCCCTATTATAAACATGCAATTGAGTATCATGATCTATGCTCCTGTATCTATAATCAACTCCTACATAAAATGTAATGTAATTGATGGAGTATATGGCCCGGGAACCCCCG